AAATAGGAACGAGAGGATAAGGAGGAGGAAGGAATAGAGTGGGGGTAAAAGTAAGAGATACCAAAAGTAAGGAAATAAAAGAGGAAGGAAATAGAGAAATGAGAGGATAAAAAGGAAGGAGGAAGAGAATAAGGAGGAGGAAGGAAGGGGGTAAAAGTAAGAGATACCAAAAGTAAGAAGGAAATAGAAACGAGAGGATAAGGAGGAGGAAGGAATAGAGTGGGGGTAAAAGTAAGAGATACCAAAAGTAAGAAGGAAATAGAGAGGATAAGAGAGGAAGAAGAGTAAGGAGAGAGGAAGGAAATAGAAACGAGAGGATAAGGAGGAGGAAGGAATAGAGGGGGGTAAAGTAAGAGATACCAAAAGTAAGAAGGAAATAGGAACGAGAGGATAAGGAGGAGGAAGGAATAGAGGAAATAGAAACGAGAGGGAAGGGTAAAAGTAAGAAGAGATACCAAAAAGAGGAAATAAGAAGGAAATAGGAACGAGAGGATAAGGAGGAAGGAAGGAATAGATTAGGGGTAAAAGTAAGAGATACCAAAAGTAAGAAGGAAATAGAAAACGAGGATAAGGAGGAGGAAGGAATAGAGTGGGGGTAAAAGTAAGAGATACCAAAGTAAGAAGGAAATAGGAAACGAGAGGATAAGGAGGAAGGAAGGAATGGGGTACAAGTAAGAGATACCAAAAGTAAGAAGGAAAAAGAGAACGAGAGAAGGAATAGAGGAGGAGATACCAAAAGTAAAAGGAATAGAACGAGAGGATAAGGAGGAGGAAGGAATAGATTGGGGGTAAAGTAAGAGATACCAAAAGTAAGAAGGAAATAGGAACGAGAGGATAAGGAGGAGGAAGGAATAGAGTACAAGTAAGAGATACCAAAAGGAAGGAAATAGAAACGAGAGGATAAGGAGGAGGAAGGAATAGAAAAAAAGTAAGAGATACCAAAAGTAAGAAGGAAATAGGAAACGAGAGGATAAGGAGGAGGAAGGAATAGAGGGGGGGTACAAGTAAGAGATACCAAAAGTAAGAAGGAAATAGAAACGAGAGGAGGAAGGTGGAGGAAGGAATAGAGGAAATGGGGGGACAAGTAAGAGAAGAGACTAAAAGAAAAATAAAACGAGAGGATAAGAAGGAAATAGAAACGAGAAGGAAATAGGAACGGAGGAAAGGAGGAGGAAGAATAGAGGGGGTACAAGTAAGAGATACCAAAAAGTAAGAAGGAAATAGAAACGAGAGGATAAGGTGGAGGAAAGAATAGAGTGGGGGTACAAGTAAGTGATACCAAAAGTAAGAAGGAAATAGAAACGAGAGGATAAGGAGGAGGAAGGAATAGATTGGGGGTACAAGTAAGAGATAACAAAAGTAAGTAGGAGGGAGAGAGGGGGGAGATCAAGAGAATGATGTAAAGTGGGAGCAAGTAGAAGAGAAGAGTTAGAAAGGCGGAGAAAGAGTGAGGTAAACAAGTGGGAAAAAATGTAAAAATAAAGTGTAAACCGAGGTAAGACTGAAAGGTAAAAGATTTTAAGGTGTGATATGGTGAACGAGCTGATGAAAGAAATTGAAGGAAAAGTTGCTGTAGGAAATGGTGGGTGTATAAGAGTAAAAGTGGTGTGCGATAGTGAGTGGGTGACCGCGTGGGGGGAAAAGAAATTGAAGAGAGTTATGTGGCATAAAAAGTCACAGGATTAAAATCTGCACCTAAACAAAATCATTCCATAAAATACGACGCAAAAAAAAACTACTGGAATTTTTTAATCAGCATCACCCCATGTAAGGCATTAAAGCCACTAAGACACAAGATGTTACTGAGTGATGAAGAATTAGGAACATAAACATTAATTATGAATGGAAAGAGGAAAGAGTAGTCAAGAGGACAGTAGATATTGATTGACATTGCATTTAAAATTTTGCAGTTTAAATTTGACTGGAAAGCATGGAGCCGGAAGGGAGTTCCACAAGCAAGGCAGTAAAGCCACTAAAACACAAGGGGTTACTGAGTGGTGAAGAATTAGGAACAGAAACATTAATAATGAGCAGAAAGAGGAAAGTGTAATCAGGAGGACAGTAAAAAGCTAGTGACATTGCAGTTAAATGTTTCAAGATTAAAGTTGGCTGGAAAGCATAGAGCTGAATGGGAGTTCCACAAACGAGAAAAAAAACTTACGGCTCCACCTAGTCAGCTCAACTGCCAATTGATGAGATCTCGTCGCCAGTCTTGTACTCTGCTCTTACATTCATAAAGTCCAGTAATCATAGCGAAGGGTTCATCCGAACAATTACCATGAAAGTGTTATGATAAGAGTCTGGTTGCGAAAGGTAAGGACAACGTGTATTTGTTTAATATACATCGTGTCTGACAGAGTTGTCGGAAAATCGGTGAAACGTCAATTTCTGTTGCTGATTGTCATGATGGCAATCAAGTGTAAGGGTAGCGACGGAAACTGACCTATTTCTTGTGTTGGTTTGACCAATGTCACAGGATATGGTTGTTTGCACATGTTGGTCAATGGAGGTCACAGTCATGGGTCGATTCGTCGGTTGGATTGGTGTAACTGGTACGCCTGTTGTATGAAACGGGGCCGCAGTGACGACTGCAAAGGGAATGCCTGTAGTGAGTCGGATGTGCCGACGGGTGATGGTGGTAGGTTGCTGAATTGACAAGGTTGGTGTAGCTGATTAGCCGGAGTTCTATAAAACGGTGGTAACCCGAGTGGATTGCATTCTTGCAGAGTCGGGGTCGCTGCTTGTGGAGTCGGAATCACTTGTTCGCAGTCGCTTGCTTGCCGAGTTGGATTTGCCGAAGTGACGCAGTTGGCGCCGAGGAAGGCCTGTAGCTGAGTGTTGACGACTTTGAAATGATATTCTGGATTCCATGTGTGAAGAGCCGGGTGTTTAGTCAAGTCTTGGAGTGGTTATGGCCGTTGAGAGGAGCGGTCATGTCGGTGACAGAAACCTGCGAATCGGGAAGCGGTCTACCGACCCGCAACTGCTCGTAATCTTTAGAGAAGACCTGCTTTTAAGCAGATCCGGTAGTCCCCAGGGACATCTCTTTTCGCCGGGAACATTCGCGATTGGCCAGTGTCGCTTTCATTGCGGCGGCTTGCTTCGTATATCGAATGTGATGCGCGAAGCCTATGCGTAGAAAACGACTTTTTGATTTTGTTATCTGACCGGCATGCAAAATGAATCAGAAAGAGAGTATAACGAAAGTATTTATAGACATAACACAGAGAGGCAACCTTACGTTGGTGGGTAAGTGGCAGAAGCCGAGACACCAGATCAGGACCAATCATATTACTGATTCTTCTTTGGATTTTATCAAGGTGCTGAAGGTAAATAGCAGGGCCACCGGACCATATGTGTCAGCAATATTCTAAACATTAATTAGATATGTAAGATAGATTCTAGGGAGAAATATTTTCTCGCAGGACACAATGAACCAACTTTCTTAGCAGCTGACGTAGTAATGGAATCAATACAGTTTTTCCACTTCGTGTCAGCGGAAAACGTTAGCTCGAGAAGTCGCAATGAGTCCCTTTTCGGGGGGTTAGCATCAGCCATGTTTGATGGAAGGAAAGGGACTCCTTTGTGAAAGTTAATTTGCCAAATAACATCGACTATTTTAATAAGATTTTAGAATAATCTGCTTTATTTTTTTTAATTTTAATCAACGCATTTTGAGCCACTGTGATCACCACCCCCTCCAACTCAGAATTGCGGTCCATAGCGACATTCAAGGCAGAATTGTGCAATGGACTGCCTGTCCCTATTGCAGGGGAGATGTTAAGGTTACCAAAGGTGGCTTCGTTTTTGAAGTTACCTACTTCTAGCCTTTGCCTAAAGAGGCCATACTTAAAGGCGGCAGGTTGGTTGATTTCCTTCTCCTAGGTTGCGTGTTGTGTAATGGATAGCACCTTGAAATAAAAACTCGGAGAGCCCAGTTCGAATTCGAGTCGGGTTTATTGCATTCACTTACACACAAATACCTTTGGGAAGGTCATGAATTGATCTCCACACACCACCAGCTCCCAGCTATGGATTAAATATTTGAGAGGACTGGCCTCTTCAACTTTGGTTGTCAAACAGTCTAGGAGAAGAACTGAATTTAAAAACCGTATTTCGCCCTGAAGAAGTACATACTATATGCAATTAATGCAAGGGTCCTGAAGTTTACGATGACTTTATGATTCTGTTAGCGATCAGGATTTAGATTAGGTTATTGCAAATCAATCAATCGACTGATTTGCAATAACCTAATCTAATCCTTTTGAAAGCGTCGGGTATGAATTAAAAATGTTGTATATAGAAATATCCTAAACATGACGCTATTAATTCGCAAAGAATGGAGTAAAATTATCAGAATTATTTGGACAAAGACGTTTGGTAAAACTATTTCAAAAAGATTCACAATGGATTTATTTAATTATTTCACCCCAAGCAAAACAATAATGCCACTAAGACGCAAGGGGTTGCTAAGTGTGAAGGAATATAAAGCAAATAAAGCTACTATTAAAGAGAAAGAATAATAAAAGTACAAGAATTAAGAAGACAGTCGCTAACGATTGACTTTGCATTTAAATTTATGAAGATCAAGGGCAATAAAGCCACTAGGAAGCAAGGAGTTACTGAGTGTTAGAGAATATGAGAAAAACTACTATTAAGGAGAGAGGACAATAAAAGAAGAAGAATTAAGAAGACGGCTGATAACGATTGACTTTGTATTTAAATGTTTTGACGATGGAAGTTGACTGGAAAGCAAGAAGCTAAAAAAAGATTTCCACAGGCGAAAAGTGCGACAGAAGAAACCATTAGCATAGAACTTACGGTTGCATGTATCAATTTCAACTGTAAAATATAATATCTTCTTTGGATTTTATAAAAAATTACTAAATAGATAGCAGAAATTTTAAGGGGTAAAAGGACATAATTATTATCACTGTCCATCGTCCATGGCAATAAAAAGCGGCTGGGTGGGAACTAAAATTAAAGAATAAAGCGACCTCATGCTTATCTATCTATCTATCTATCTATCTATCTATCTTTGTGTATTCATATCTATCTATTTATCTATCTATCTATCAATCTTTGTGTATTCATATCTATCTATCTATCTCTGTGTATTCATATCTATCTATCTATCTATCTTTGTGTATTCATATCTATATATCTATCTATCTATCTATCTATCTCTGTGTATTCATATCTATCTATCTATCTTTGTGTATTCATATTTATCTATCAATCTATCTATCTATCTTTGTGTATTCATATCTGTCTATCAATCTATCTTTGTGTATTCATATCTATCTATCTATCTATCTCAGTTCTTTTCATATCTATCTATCTATCTTTGTGTATTCATATCTATCTATCAATCTATCTATCTTAGTGTATTCATATCTATCTATCTCTCTCTCTCTATCTATCTATCTATCTATCTATCTATCTATCTATCTATCTATCTCTGTGTATTCATATCTATCTATTTATCTATATATCTGTTTAAGTGTGTTCATATCTATCTATCTATCTATCTATCTATTAGACTGTCCCAATGTGCTCGTATCTATTTATCTAACTTTATATATCTTTTAATATCTATTTCTGTATTTTTATATATTTTTTATTTAATTCAGTACCCAGCTGACTGTGTTCAGAATCCATCATCTTTCCCTCTCAATATCTACTTTGTGTCTGTCAATGCCAAGCTTTTCATTATCAATATATATAGATATATATATAGATATATATATAGATATATATATAGATATTCTCTTTCTCTCTCTCTCTCTCACTCTATCTCTCCCTCACCCTGCATTTCGCTCACCATACACCTATCTACCTCTTAACCTATTTTCCCCTCTTCACCATTCAATTAGCTCACACTGGTCAGTACTACTTTGTGCCTTGTATGGTTCTCTTTAAATATTTCCTATCAGTTAAACTTAAAAAATAAAAATAATAAAAAAAAATAGAGAAAAGGCAACATTTTGCTCCGATACCGGAAGTCCTTAGAGCGCCTGTCCATGTCGTGAACGGAAGTGACATTAATTGGCTGCCATGTTTGTCTCTTTTCTAGCACCTGAGTCATTTTTCAAGAGATAAGGCCACGCCTCGCAACTTTAGCTACCCACCACAGATATTAAAACTTTCCTTTATAGGTTCATATATATATATATATATATATATATATATATATATATATATATACGTGTGTGTGTGTGTGTGTGTGTGTGTGTGTGTGTTTTTTGTTTTGTCATAGACGTCCTTTTATAGAGAAAAATATATTTACCATTGCTCATAGTTATAAAGGATTTCCTGCATAAAGAAATGATGTGGAAACAAGTCGAGCAATAACTGATGAGCGCTGCTAAAAATAACATGACGAGGTATCCCTAGACATGGACTGTAATATAATCCCATAGATCAAATAAAGTGTTTCACTTCCAAATTCCTTGAAGGACAACCAGACCAACAGACCTGGGAAAAAGACCGGAGGTTTTGATAGCCGGAATGTGATAGCAACAAAGATAATTAAACCCGTTTTCTATCACCAGTGACTATCTTGTCCGCAAGTTACTTTTTTCCTGAGGCGAACCTCACAAGAAAGATAGATGAATCTTTAAAAATGACATTCCAACATCTGGCAAATTGGAAAAAAGAGGTAAAACCTCACCCCCTTCATTGTTGGCACCCGCTCGAATCCGATCATCGGGATCACCATTCTTTATCCTTTCTCCTTTTTCCCCTCTGATGCCGGTGGTGGAGATGGGCTGTGAAGGCCCAGCCTACTCCTAAAGAGTCATGGGCTGGAGTCACGGAGGAGTGTGTGTGTGGTGCACGCAGCTGGGCGAGTCCTGCCCTCCTCACAGCGCGTCGTAAATCCTCTTCATATCGACGGTTGAACTCAAATGTCTCCCGCCCATCCAACCTCAGATGGTCATTCGCCAGGAAGGTCGATTAAATCGTTTTAAAATAACAGCGTTAGTGATAAGTCATCAGCACCCGCTCGAATCCAATCATCGGGATCGTAATCCTCTCTCCTTACTCGCTGTGTCACCTCTGGTGGCGGCGGTGGAGATAGGGCTGTGAAGGCCCAGCCTACTCCTGAAGAGTCGAGGGCAGGAGTCACAGACAGTGTGACTGAAAGAACCTCGCAGATCCTCTTTATGTTGACGGTGGGGCCCGAAAGGTTCGGTCTCCTCTCGGATGGTCCTATGCCAAGAAGACCGATTTGCAGCAACAGTTTCCCAGGTTTCAGGGTTGATACTGGCCTGTGTCAGCGATGTGTTCAACTGATCCTAGAAGCGTCGTTTTGGGCCTCCGCGTAGCCTCTTGCCAAATTGGATGATACGTGGGAGTCGAGTGGGACGCATTCTCGACACGTATTACAGTTTCTTCATATCTGTCTATCGAAATTTCTTCATATCTATCTATTTCTTCATATCTTCATATCTATCTATCTATCTATCTATCTATCTCAGTCTGTTCACATCTATATGTTCATATGTATCCATCTCAGCCTGTTCATGTATTTATCTGTTTATATCTATCTCGGTCTGTTCATATCTATCTACCTACCTACCTATCTATCTATCTAGTTATCACATTTACCTAATCCTATATATATTTCACTTCTGTTCACAAATATCTATTTATCTATCTCAGTATGTTCATATCTATCTAGCTAGCTAGCTAGCTAGCTATTTCAGTGGAAATATATCTTCCCTTGCTATAAGTTACACTCATCGATACTCATCAAACCTATTGCGCCTTCTTTTCCCATTGCATAGAATCTTTAAAGTTTAATAAAATATATTGAAACTATCTCAAAATTTAACTCAAGCTTTGTTTTGACGTCTGAATTAATTGTTTAAAATTTGACAAAAATTGTTCAAAGCAAATTCGAGTTATTAAGCTTTATGTGACTTCCATAATAAATTCAGGTGAACTGTGTAAATTCTTTTAAAGCATCTTCATATAAATGAATTATTTCATACCAAAAAATAAATAAATAAAACGTACACTCCACACACAAAAAAGAAATATTTGAGAAAATAATGAAAATGAAATGACTGATTGAATTAAGTTTTTCAAAAAGTGTGTTTTTATAAGTGACATTTTTTTATAAAATATTAAAGAATTACAATATTTTGTATCCATTCCTTGTTTTTTTTATCGGGAGTTTAAATGTTGCGAAAGTTAGTACGGACGTCTCTAATTCCAGTTCTACTATATATATATATATATATATATATATATATATATATATATATATATATATATATATATATATATATATATATATATATATATATATACTTCGTCATGAAGGGCTAAAGTTTATATACGTACATATTCAACTCAGGAAATATCTTTTTGAAATTGAACCCATTCATAAGTGCCGGCCGGCCGACGATTTCAAACTATTAGTTTACGTCTGATATTTACGATAACGAGACACAACAAGGGTAAAATATGACGATCGACCTGAAACTCTCACCCCACACCTCACATACACACACGCACCCACTCTTTATTATATATATATATATATATATATATATATATATATATATATATATATCGTTTTAGTTTTGTTGTTTTATTTATCTCTCTCTCTCCCCTTCTCTGGCGAATTCCATCCCTTTATCTTTCTCTCTCTCTCCCTTTCTCTCTCTCTCTCTCTCTCTCTCACCCTTTCGTTGTCTCTGTTCTTTTACTTCTCATGTCACTTCGCAATTGCCGCTTCTTTTCACGTTTTTTTTTCACTCACTTTCTTCGTTTTTCTCTTTCTTTGTATCACATAAGGCCCCTATCTATCTATCTATCTATCTATCTATCTATCTATCTATCTATCTATCTATCTATCTCAGCCTATTCATTATCTGTCCCAATCTGTCTTTCAATTTCATCTGAGATCATCTTCAGGAGTTGAATTTCTAAGACAAAAAGTTAGTATAGGTTATAAATATGTGAGCATGAACGCTGTAGAATTCGAAAAAAAAATTAACCGCTATTTAAGGGAGGTAATTTATATAAATTTCATATTAGAATTTTAGTAACGAGTTTTAAAATATTTTTAATTGTAGTTTTTAGCAATTATAATTTAATTATCTTCTAAAAACTTCTCTGTTATAATTATTTTAGTATTTTGTTTCTATATTCGTAAATGACTTTATTTTTGGCCGTAATATTTTTATATAAAGGACTTCAAAAATTTGTAGTTTTTTTTATTATTTCCGTGGCGGAGTATAGTTGTGTTGTTGCTTAATATCTGTCTAAACAATGCATGTGGACAGAAATATTCCTTGTGAAATTAAGATATAATCATTCAAGTGAAATGTTAGTCTTCCTCACATAGTCTCAATCAATTTCCTACAAAGCACAAATAAATTATTCCCTGAACTTGAGAGTGTTAAAATTAATATATATATATATATATATATATATGTGTGTGTGTGTGTGTAGGTAGTAATCCGTTGGAATATAATGCAAGTGATTCCTATACAGCTAATGTTTTTATAGTCTTTATAATAAACAGAGCAATATCTTTCATACATACGTTTCCATTTGTCAAAATTCGAAAACTTTGGCGGGATTTCTATATCATAATTTTAACCCACACGCACACACACACACACACACATACATATATATATATATATATATATATATATATATATATATATATATATATATATCAAGTATGTGGTGCAGTTCAATTTACATTACGTGAATCATTCATACAAAAAACAGATATAGAAGTTAATGATTTAAATGGCGAGAATACATCTTCACAAACAATTTTAATAAAGTACATTAACCCCGAACCTGTATATGAATGTTATGATAACTGGAATTCATAAACAGGGATCATGTAATATATATATATATATATAATTCATACAATCGGGATTAAGGTACCATAATGTGAATGATCATTTTCACCTTCTAAAATTAAATTTACAGCATTGTATGAAAAATATATATATATATGTGTGTGTGTGTGTTTATGTGTTTTAAAATTAGGATATAGAAATCCCGACAAAGTTCTCAAATTTTGACAAATGAAAACGTTCATGAAAATAGATTTATTTAAAAATCGATTCGATAATGCATTTCTCCATTAAAGTCTTTCATCAAATCCGAAAAGAAAAGAATGAAATGTGTGTTTGTGTTTATACTTCAATAATCAATCTTAGTACATTTTTCCTAAGCTGCCATTACTCGAGGGAGAAAATGAGTTGCTTTTTAAAAAGTCGTTAATATTTATTTTGGCATCTTTTCTTTACTCTTAGTTCCAGTCGAAAGTTCTTAATGTATATTTTGCAAACGTTATTATAGTGGACACTCATATTTGAAACAGACGCCCCATTTTTATTTAAACATTGTGTATTACGTCCATCTGCTGCGGTATTCGAGAAATCTTAATAAAAAAAAATGTATTTTCCAACAGGAATCGAAACTGACCCTCTCTTTGTAGGCTAAAACTACCGTTTGATCCGACTTGCTTTACCGCCGGCCTACACAGGTCATAATTCAGTAAGGCTTTGTTTTCCCTTTTAAGAAAAGCACACGTCCTTATAAACATATTTCTTCTCGAAAGCCCATATCTGAATGGTTTAGTATCCGAAACGTAAACAAAGCAATTTCTAAAGAATTAATGGATTTATTTTTAACCCAACATTTTTATTACTTCAAACATTATTATAGTGGATATTCGTGTTTGAAATAGACGCCCCACTTTTATTTTAAACAGTGTGCATTACGTTTATTAGTCTGTGCATTTAAGAAATATTAATAAAAAAATGTGTTCTCCGGCAGAAATCAAGCTGTGTCGTCCCGCCCACTTTGCCCTGCTGGAGAATATATGCCAGTATTAAACTGAGTGGATATAGACGTACGAGAAAGATAATCTGTTTGAAGATTATGTGCTTTCCTTAAAAAAAAGAGAGAGAGAGAGAAAAAAAAATAGAGCATTGCTTAACTGTGACGTTCTACATGGCCGAGCGGTAAAACACACCTGATCAAGCGGTGGCTTTTTTCCTACTACAAGAGACACATTTCATGCCTGCTAAAGTGCGCATTTTCTTTATTAAGACTATACTCCTTCAGACCCCCCCACCGCCAGTCATCAATGGCCATGGACTTGATCCCACCCATCTGCTTCTCTAGAAAATCGCAGCCTGTGGTTGAACAGGCCGATGCACGAGTGGCAGTCTCTGTCACACAAGTCACGCCAGTGAATTGTCTGTGTATTGTCTATGCTGCCGCATTCTTTTCTCCTCTCCTGACATTAGTTGCTTAGTCAGGGTGCTTCTCCACCCAGAACGATCAGCAGCAAGGTCCTCCCAGTGGTCACTGTTGATCTCAAGGGCCTTCAAATCCCTCTTACAGACATCTCTGTAGCGTAACTGAGGATGACCAGTGTCTCTTTTGCCATTTGTAGGTTCTCCGTACAAGATGTCTTTGGGAATTTGGCTATCCTCCATGTGACGAATATGACCCAGCCATTGGAATCTGTGCTGTCCGAACAGAATGAACATGGTTGTTAGGCCGGTGTGAGACAGAACTTCAGTGTTGGACATTTTGCCCTTCCATGATATGCCAAAGATGCGGTGGATACACATCAAATAAAAAGTGTTCAGTCTCATCTCCTGTTGGACATATGTCATCCATGTCTCGCTCCCGTAGAGAAGTGTGCTTATGGTACAGGCATTATAGACTGCCATCTTTGTCTTGACAAAGAGCTTGAAGTTCTACCACACTCGCGTGGTGAGCCAAGCGGATGTAGTTGCTACTTTCGCAATCCTCTTGTCTATTTCTTTATCCAGAGTGAGGTCGCTGCTGATCGTAGACCCGAGGTACGTGAACTGGTTTAAAATTTCCAGCACGTAGTCATCAATGATGATTGGTGGAACATCTACATCCTCACCTTAGGACATTCGTCTTTTTCCGGCTGAAAGGAAGATTATATTGCCTCAAATGTTTTTATAATGGACACTTCTTATTTGAAATAGACGTCCCATTTTTATTTATTAGACAGTATGAATTATCTCTATCGGCCTGTGTACCCAAGAAAATCTAGTAATGAAAATTTATTCTTCGTCAGAGATCTAAACTACGTCCCCTTTATAGCGGAAACCACTGTTTGATCTGGTGTCCTTTACCATTCAGCCACGAAGAACATCACCGTGAAGAAAACCCTATTTTCCCTGTTTACGGAAAGCACACTTCGTCACCGAGATATTTCTTTTCGAAACCCCATTATCTTTATGGTTTCCTGTCCGAAACGTAGACAAAGTAATTTCTAAAGAACAAGTGGATTTATATATAATTCGAATTTTTTATTGTTTCCAACGTTATTATTTTAGTGAATATTCATATTTGCAATAGACCCCCATTATTTTATTTTAAATAACGGGTATTGCATCTAATGGTATGCATTCGAGAAATCTTTATATATATATATATATATATATATATATATATATATATATATATATATATATATAAATATATATATATATATGAAGATTTTCTTATATATATATATATATATATATATATATATATATATATATATATGAAGATTTCTCGAATGTGCATACTGATAGATGTAATACATTATATATATATATATATATATATATATATATATATATATGCTGCAAGTTTAACCAAAATTTTGAAGGTTCTAAAAAAAGATAAAAAAAATATAATTTAATTATAAAAAATCCTTTGGTCTTTCCTCATAATATTAACATAAAGATTTTGACGATAAACCTTGATTTTATTCAGTTTGGCACATTTTTTCATGTATCCTTATTTTTAGCTAATCTTTGTGGAGGTACCTATATGTATATATATATATATATATATATATATATATATATATATATATATATATATATATATGTGTGTGTGTGTGTGTGTGTGTGTGTGTGTGTTCTCTTATTTTTTTGATTTCTTACTCTTCAAACTTTTCTCTGTATATATCTTTCCGCTTGTCATTCTCACTTTCTTTCATTCCTCTCTCTCTTCCTCTCTCTCTCTCTCTCTCACACACACACTCGCTCGTTCGTTCTATCTATCTATCTATCTATCTATCTATCTATCTATCTACCTGTCCAAGAGTCCAGGCTGGTTTTAGACACACCAAAGATATTATCATCTCCGAAAAGTACACTTCTAATTAAAACCTATCTCTGTTTTGCTCACGGTCGGATGACCAGAGAAAGCTTTGATGTTCTCTTGTCTAACATTCTGAACGATGAGAGATGATGACAGAGATACAAGCCGTCGTTTTCAGCTGAGCAAAGTGTAATAAACTTTTTCTTTTCTTATTTTTTATTTTTTTTATTTATTTATTTATTTTTTTGTCTTCATTCGGAGCAAGTGCAACTGTCGAGAAAGACAGATAAGGTGTGGGCAGAGGTAGTTAGACAAAATGAAGAATGGGTAGGAGGAAGAACGAACAAGGTCAGAGGCTATAAGCGGGCGAGAAGGAAGAGAAGAGGCAAGATTAGAAGATAACAGATGGGAAGGTGAGAAGAAGAAGAAGAAGAAGAAGAAGAAGAAGAAGAAGAAGAGGAAGAAGAGAAGAAGCAGGATTAGATTTGATGGTGTCGGAAGAAGAGAGAGATTACAATTCAAAAAGAAGAAAAACCGGTAAGAGAGGAAGAATGTTTGATGAAGGAACAATAATCATAAGAAAGAAAGAAAGAAAGAAAGAAAGAAAGAAAGAAAGAACAAACGAAAAAAAAGAAAGAAAGAAAGAAATTTTAGCACAACAAAAAAACAAATGAAAAAGAAGAGAACAAAGAAAAACTAAGATAGTACAAACCTCGTTAACGAAGTCTTTCCTTTCTATCAAAGATAACATCGTTACGTCTCATAAACCTCAGACTGAAAAC